GATCAGTAAATTAAGAGAACGTTCGGCATCCCCTTGGTGATAAAATTCATTGGCGATGTTACGCGCCCATACCATGGAAATATGGCTAGGCCGCGCACAGTTGGAAACATCCGCCATCTTTATGGACATGCGAAGCGCCAGCATCACATTTTCCTTTTTTGAGTGCCAGTCTTCTGGTTCGGAAAGACGCTGCTGAAATTTTTTAAAGATTTTTGCGTGATTTCCCATATCTGTGGCTAATACCATTTCAAGCACAATAATACGGAAGTCCTTCCTCTGTTGTTCATCCAAGGTTGCTAAGATGTCGTAGCGTGGGTTACAAAAAAGCTCAAAAATACACGCTACATGATGATTTTCTAGGATGGATCGATCATTATATAGAGTGGCTAGATATGCGTCGGTTCGGGCGTGGAAATTATTATTTAGTCCTGGATGATCGAAATCGTGAATCGCTCCCGCGATCAAAGCAGCAAAAATTTCAACCTGAGTCAAGCAACATTTATCACAGAGGCGAGCAACCATTATTATGTAATAATTTATTTGTGTTACATCGGCAGCATGCATGGCGTTGTGGTATGGATTTGCATGATAACCGCCCTGAACAGCTGCTAAAAAGTTGCGCAAAACTTGGTCATCGATATTGAAATGTCTAACAAGATCCAATTTGTACATGAGAAGGTACACCATGTAAAAGAGAGAATTACCCTCAGTGAGGATCTCGAGGCCGATGGTGTCGCAGCTCCACTGATCAACCCCTTTAAATATCTCGAAAGCCTCTGCAATCATTTGGCGCCTGTTAGACGTCTCAATGCGCTTCTTAATATCAGGTAACTCGAACACCTGTGAAATTGAGTTTAATGTTTCCCCCTGTGGTAGAGGAAAGGCGGCGCGGATGCAATCCAGTAGAATATTATCAACCTCTGCTTCATATGGATAGTGTTGCATGCTCCCAGAGACGTGCTGAAACCACTGGGGGCCACCGTCGTCATAAAGGATATCGAGAGGGTGCCTCTTGGCCCCTTCAGTCACCTTAAGTTCACGAACCTGAGCTTCGCAGCCGCGTAACTCATTAGACAATTTCATAGATTCATATAGGGAATTCGCCAAGTCTTCACATAATGGGTGAATAGTAGAAACCATGTGATCTGCATCCTTCTTGAGCTGATCCAGAGAAGCTTTATTAACTACAGTTTCACATTCAATCCGCTGAGTCTGAAATATGCGCTTATTTCTTACCGAATGATGATGTTGTAAGCCACGGGAGAAGGGTTTAAGAACGTACCGAAACACTTCATCCATGGAGGGAAACCTGCCGTCCGAAACTAAATTCATAGAAACCTTAAATGGAAAGCTGCGGGAGGTATCTTTAGAGTTGAAAATGGTGAAGGAAACGTCTTTCTGCGTCTCTGTTGTTGCTGCCACAACTGCCGTAGACTTAATCAAAGCAGTTGCAACCGATTTGAAGAAGGGTGCCCACGGAAAAGCAATCCCTGAGGTGTTTTTTTCCTCCTCAAGCTCTTCATCAGTAAAGCCACGAGCGTACACACTGCCAGTAGCACCCTCACGATACGAAAAAACGGTTTTACCTGTCTCAGGTTCGCAGAAGAGAAATAGCATACCATCTGATCCAGTAGAAATATTTTCATCATACATAGCAAGGACACCGTATTCAATTATATATTTTTTCTTTCCAGGGAGCTTTGGGAAAGAAATGGCAGAGTTTCGCGGAAAAGGTTGGGACGTATTAATTGTTTCTGTTGTCAACGCTCCCTCCCGTTTGGTCTTAAACTCTAGCGATTTTTCAGACAATGTATCTCTAGAGACCCACTTATTTTCAGATATTGAATCTGGAACTGAAGCTCCATCATCAGATTTATCATGACGCCTTTTTGTGACCGATAAATTACAATCGGGTAGCGTCACTGGATAGCTCACTCTATGGCCCATTCGCCCTGCTAATATTAACCTACAAATTATCTAATAAATAAAAATGTATTTTATCTGAAATATTTAGTGAAGCAATAAAAAAAGGCGCACAAGAAATTGAGATGCTTTTCGGAAAAAGATGCCCACGAAAGGATAATATATTAAGCTGCTTCTTGCTTCAAGAAAAAAATGGACGCCAAACAAATGAAGAATAATTAAAAATGGAAAAGACAAAATAAATTAGATTTTTAGGTTAGAATAATGTACTAGATATAGCTCATTATGAATAAGTTAGTGCAGTTTTAAATATAATAACATATTCATAATATGGCGAAAAAAATTACAATGAAATAGAGTACTATATGTATATACTATAAATATACATATATAAAGCTCTCAGACTTCGCCTGCCATTGAAGTGTGAATATGTAATATTAATGAAATATATATGTGGAAGAAAATATGAAAAGCTGAACCTCATATAACAGGTGAAAAAATATTTCCTTTTATCTGAATAGGAAATATTAAATTAAATCTATAGTCTTTAACACTCAATCATAAAGACCAGTAAATCTGGACCAAATTTTTCGAGAATGCTTCAAAAGTATTTCATTCAAGTTTATCTGCTGATACTTTGATGCGTACAGTTCCAAGGTCGGAAACGTTCTGGTGTGTGCATGCATGAATCGGAACTAATATCCAATAAGCTACATCATTTCATCCAAAAAAAAAAATGTAGCCAGACACATTTCTTGTTCATCTGTAAGTAGTTTGTTCGCCTGGGTATTCCATAATCACAATCTCTGTCGTAAGCTGGCCTACATGGCCCGCCTCACAGAACCTCCTCGTTGGGAAAAGCAAATAATAATATAATTTAAAAAGAAAAAATGCGGGTATCCCTTCTAGATGCCGACATCTGTAATCTCAGACAGAACGTGCAGTAGCGTAGATTACTACCTGAGGCGTCGGTGAGGGATCCTTCCCCCATGGCTCCGATTTCGTATTGTCCTCGTCGTTCACAAAGCGATGAGTGCGTACCTTCATTGGAGGCCTAGGCATCGTATCAATCGATTTGGAGGGTGCAGCCTGGGAGACGATGACCTGAACTTTTTCCTCGGCAAATGCATTAGCAACAGCCCTTGTAGCAGGAGGACACGCCAATGCGGGCTGCACAACCGTCCCTTCCTCAGGCCGCAAAAGCGAAAGCTGAATTGACTCAGCGCGTCTAGGGGGCTTCAGACTCTTCCAATCGACCTTCGAAACCCCCATTGCGGCACAGCGTTCTCGGGCTTCTGACAGGGCGGATGGTGTGTATGAAATGATGGTAGTTCCCCCATAGGTGTGTTGTGGTTTATACCCTTTATGAAAAGCCGCAAACTGATTCAAAGTTGCGGTTTGCCTCTGGTGTCGCTTCGAAAAAGTGGACCTGGGAGTTGGATCCAAGGATGATTTCGCTTGACTGGTGCTTGGGAATTTCCCCGTGGAATGAGAACGGGTCTTTGAACTGGTATCTACACTATGTAGCCGATCGGTTTTGACCGATGCAGACCGGGTATAATCTGCAGAGGTAGGCCTGCCAACATTCTGAGTGGAAGCTTTTAACTGGCTTTGTGATAGTTGAAGAGGTTCCCGAGTGTGTTTAGACTGCGCCAAACGCGTAACTTGCGGATTGCGAGATGGAATAGTGTGGTTAGATCTCTCTTTGGGGTACACAAATGGTGTATGCATGTTATGCTCTCTAGTTTCTCTCTCACGTCTTTCCTCCTCTTCAAAATTGATAAGTCGCCCGTAGTTCGGCTGCGCTACCGCAAAGGGCTTTCTATTGTGACCAATGGGTAAAGCTAGTCGTTCAAACTTCATCAGAAGAAACTAGAAATTATCAATTACCTACTATACGTGTTAAAAACGTAATGGTGCTGTAGTACAAAATTCTCAATCTACACGGTACACCTTTGTTTCTAGATATTTTTATTAATATTTACAACCAAAATAAAATGTTTTTTTTGCTGTTCTCTATCAGCTACAGTAAAAAAAATGATTTCCCTTTGCTAAGATATTCATGTAAAAAAGGTAAGTAAAGGGTGGTTTACTACCATTTCAAGACATTAGAAGTGTTCACAACTCTTTAGAAAATACTTACTTACCATAAAGTAAGAAGTAAACAGAGTTTGACTGAAAGAATCCTTCTGACAGTGCTTAAGTAGATAAACACTAAAATCCAGCTCATGAAGGAAAGTTGTTCATGTGTTCCCACTTTCAGAAAAGCCTCCCCTGACTGTCCTTTGCGGATGCTGTAGTAAAAAAAAGTTGTTTGTTGTATACAATCCCTATGAATCACACATAAATAGTTTTGTAAAGAATATGTAGATGGCAAAGAAAGTGATGATTAACTATTAGGTACAATTTACAAATGTACAACTTATTACCTTAGCTAATGGTCTCACACGATTGAGCTTATACACAGGAAAAGAAATGCCAGTTCTAAAGATGCATACTTCACTGAGATGTCGAAAATTTTCTGAAGAAAAAAATTTCTTGAACCACAAAACCACAATGGTAATAATATAACAGTAATCAATATAGATATATATCAAATAACCCTTTAGGATGAAAATATATGAAATCATCAGATATTTTGGTATTATTTTACTAGAATATACCTTCACTCTTTGAATATTTAACTGATATTCATCAGATCACATAAATTTGTTTACGTATTTCATATTAGCTTGCATTAATGCGCTTTTATGAGGTTTAGCTGTAGCCTACTAATAATAATAAGCATAATTAGCTATATCTAGTATTAGATACTCGACATCGTCATTATTTCATTAACAAATTCATTTTCCGAAATTTCACTAGCCATCACTTTCTGTGGAAATAAAATACTTCCATGTTCTCTAAATAAACAAATACACATAAATTGTGAGGATGAATTTTTATTTCAAATATAAACATATATATATATATATATGTACGAATTTTTAGATTGAACATACGTAATAATAGAATAATCCAAAAAGGTAACAAACATACATTCTACAGCGCCATTCTCAATATTGTTTTTTCTTTTTTTTCCTTTCAGAATACAACTTTGCAGCTTCATCATAGTTATTGAAGCTTCCACAACTGATAGACTCCCGAAGAACAGTTGCCATCATTTTCTGACAGTGATCGGCATACAGAGTAGCATCGTTTTTCTCCTCTACTGTAGGATAATACACAGGTAGCACACGAATCTCAACGTAATTTACAAACTGGCAGCACAAGCGTAGAAAAATTTCATACAGATCATTACTACCTACCATCTTCCCTCCCCAAGTCGGATTAAAGTGTTTGTATGGAAAATAAACACAGACCATTTGGACTGGACTTCCTGATTCAAAGGCTCCTTTTTTGTATCGTAACAATGCTAATTGGTTTGCAGTAGTTCCCTCCGGGAATATTATGAGCTGGGGCCCTAAGGGATCTTTTGCTCGTTTAGAAATAATGTCAAGCGCTTGCTTACGTGACGTGGGGGAGTTGCGGTCAATCAGAATCGCATTGCAAATCCGAGCCACTATCCTAAATAAAAAGCTTTTTTCATTCTCTTTACGAGAGACGAAAGATGGAAACTTTTCAAGAAGAACAAGAAGCACCACTTCCAGCACACAGCTATGGTTACTAACGAACAATTTGCATTGGGAATGTGATGCAACTTTACCATAGACCCTGACATTATAGAAACCAAGAGCAGCAAACATAATACTGCTGAAAAAGTTGACCAGGTAAAAAAAAGGAAAACCAGTAAGGGTGGGATACTCGATTTCGTTTGCCCATGATAGCCGTACAAACCATTCCCAAGATCATGCCCATGAACGCAAGCGCAATGCGCAGCACCAGTACACCAGAGAACGTGAATAGGATGACTTTGAAATATTCATACAGTGTCATTGGAGTATCATAATGGAAGGGGTATAATTTGTCGCTTTGAGGGGGGTTCCCGTTCACATAATCCTCTGTTAGAGAAAGGTGTCGTGGGTTGGAAAAAATGAGATCCATGACGTTAATATAAATAAATAACGTGATAAAGAGAGCAAAGATACCAAAGAAGTACATTACCACGACTTCTTGCCACGAGTAGAAGCCCCATCCAAGTCGCTTTAGAGCAATCGATAAATGGTTCTCAGAAGAGTCAGTGCGCACGTTCAGTGACGTGGAGTGAAGTTGATAAGGACATAAAGCAGCTCTGAGGCAAAAATAGAAAAAGCAAAGTCCGAATAGGATTTTGAATAACTTGGTTTGTTTCATATTCAAAATGTTTTTGAAGATTACTATAATGGGAGTAAATATGGGCCACAGATATACAGATATGCTGTGTTCAATTTTACTTATATGAGCTTTTTAGTAACTATAAAAAAATCAACAATAAGTACAATAAAAAGTTTAAAAATTATAAAACTAAATAAATTTTAATGGTACATTTTATACTAAACGCAAATCCAATAAAACTGACAAGGAAATGTTTTTCCCTCTTAAAATGATAGTAAGAAAGGACAAAACAAAACAAAACAAAACAAAAATAAAGATATCACATGAAAAAATATTAGAAATTTTTAAAAAGATGTAACAGAACTCCTATTTCATAATTCATGTTTCTAAATTTAGTTATCAGTTTGATGCATATTCTCACGAAATAATGGAAGGAAAAAAAGAATAACAGCCCTAAGCCCTGTGTTTCGTGAGTAATGTGGTAAAAAATAAAAAGCCTGTAAATTTATGTAAATTGAATCATAATAATATATAAATAAATATGCAGAAATATTCAAAAATATATAGCTAAATTTTAAAAAAGTATGATTAATAATCAATTACCGATACCAACGTTGGCCTTCCTGATTATAATTAAAATACTTTGTATCAAAGTTAAGAATGTAGAACTTGTATTTAGAAAATTATACATCAGGAAAAAAGAGAATTCGGCTACTTTAGTATAAGATTTATAGTTTTTTTGTTTTGCTACTGATATTCAGATAATGTTTTCAACTTCAGGCATATTGAACGGACGGTCAAACATATTTGTATATAAATACACGCTTAGGAACTAACATACTTGATGTCTTATGTTACTTGAAGCGATAAAAACTCCTTCGGGAAATCACTGTTTGTGGAAAGGTCATGATAGTGACTTTAGACTCTATCTAATTAGAGACAATGAGCTTTTAAAATTAGCACAGAGCACATTCGACTCGGTACAACGAACATAATCCTATTAACCCAAACAATTACAAATTCCCTTTGTAACTATCCGCACCGCTCCACAAGTAGATCCAGTTGTAGAAGAGAACCATTAAGCCATATATATACTAAAAACACTACTGTGTATGTCAAGTCCCAAAACAACTAAATCATAAATCTCATAGTTAGGAAAGCCCTCCAATGTTAGTGGCACAGACACGCAAGCAGAGGCCCATCCCCACCTAGAAACAACACAATAACAGAAATTTAGAACTCTTTCAAAGTTCCCTAAGCGTGCAGAGCACAAACAAGGCCAAAGATGGTAAGGCACTAGTCACGGGGTAATTATTTTGGTATTTCCCACCGTCACTGTCACAATAGTGGGCTTTAATAAATGGAATCAATGACAACGACACAATTGAAGTCTATCGCCTACACTGTTCTTGTTGGACTTTATCATTAGGTTCTGCCAAACTTGAAGATTGCAATTCACAGGCTCAAGCATTGAGTCTAGCACTTCGATTTGTGATTAACACAGTGATTAGTCCTCCTGAGAGTAACAATATAAAATTCAAACATGTAATTTGGATGAGGCAAAGCCATGCGAGGCCTGCGTACATGAAAGAAAAGTGAATTATCACTTTGCTTCATCGTGTACGTTAGTCTTAAAAAAAAAAAATGCTGATGTAGGTATTATTATTTGTTTTTCTGACCGTCTTATTTCCATCTCTTTTACAGACCCCTAATGATAGTACACTGATAAAGACACAATGCCATTCCATGTAAATGAAAATGTCTATCGCCTTTTAGTCATGTGATCATAAAAATCAACAAAAAAGAAGAGCCAAAAGAAAACTGACAAAAATTACAATATGAAGGAAAAATATGTCAATAAATAAAATATGTACAACGGTGGTGTAAAGTTCAATTTGAGATGTTTAGGGAGGAGAAAAAAATTTAAAGGTTTACCTGGAAATAAAAATATGGACAATTTCAAACTAGGGTGTGAAGTTCAAAATAGTTCAGTTAATAAAAAAGGAAGGTACAAAAAAGTTCAAAGCAAAGATAAATTCATTGCTGTACATTACACCGACGTGTTGTGAGAAATATGTAAGTTTGATTAATCTTAATCGTATATATACATTTAAAAATCTAAGCAAATTATGATAGCAAATATAAGGTAAAAAATATCCAAAACAAACTCAAAATCTGAAGACTAAGAAGCTGTGTCAACACGCCACATAAGCATTATTACACACTAAATCCATATACTTCAAAAGTGAATAGATGCTTCGAAAGTAAATCAGAGATTACCTCATGGCTTAGCTTTGGTATTTGGAACTGCTTAATTAAACCCCATTTGGGGTCACACGTGTTCTCCTCTATTGAAGTACGAACGAAATGGTCTCCTTGATCACATCGAAGTTTGATTTGGCAAAATGTGCGTGTTGAAAACTCTGAAGGGATGTTCTCAGCGCCCACTACATGAAGACAGAAAGAAATATCTTTATTAACCAACTTCATCGGATCCTCACACTCTTGTACATCTAGGCCAATAGGAAACAGTTGTAAATTCAGCTTTGTTGACGTCAGAGAGCCCTTATCGGTTTCCAGAGCACAACAAAACGCACGGCGTACACCTAGGAGAACACCTTCCAAGTTAATACCACAACGTCCCTTAAAAAAAAGAAAGGATACTTCATTGTCAAGAGCCCATATCATACCTTGAGAAGATGCCTCAATTCGTCTCTTCAAGTCATGGTTAGCTAAAGCAAGTTGTTGAAAGCCTTTTTGAATACTATTATTAGTGACATTCTGTGACTGAGCCATCTCTACGACCAGTTGTAATGCATTTCTATTTTTCTCTAGATTAAAAACAAGCATCTCCTTTTCCTTTCTTTCACTTACTAGTTTGTCAAGAGAAATTTCGAGTTTCACGGTTAAAGCCCTTAGCATCCTTACATCTAGAACCTTGGTCAACTTGTTTATATGTGCCTTATTGGTAATAGCCATGGCATTTTTTGCATAATCCAGTGTTGAAATGGTCTCCACCAAATTATACGCCGTCGGTGATACAGTTGCCAACATCCATGTCTTGCTGTTTCCTCCGAAACTCTCAGATAACAATCGTGTCAACTTCGACTCACGAAGCGGGATAAACGCATCGCCACCTTTGCGTTCACTAAATGAGTTGAGTGTGCGTCCGAGCATCAACAATGAGTAGTTGATCTTCTTCGCCTCCTCAAAGCTTTGTCCAGACGAATCAGCCTTTCCTTGGCGCTCACTGCCAGCTAGATCAACCAGTGAAATAGTACATTCTAGATCTCGCTTGCCAGTTGACCGAAACTCCTGCTGCATGGTGATTTGAATAATGGCGTGTGAACGTGAACTTGTTTCATTCATCTTCGTCTCAGCCACCTGTCGATTCGCATTGCCACTGCTAATGAGCTCCATCATTCGTTCAAACCCCAGAACTGGGTGAACACTTACCCCTTTTACATAAACACGGTGATTGGTGTCCTCGTGGATTTCAAGCTGCTCCGGCTCTTGCCCATGCTGCAACGGTGCAAGTAGATCACGTAGTTTTTCCATGTATATTTCAATCATCGATAACGACATTTTTATAGCTAGATCAGGATCCTCCTCCACAAGTCGTTGGGCTTCATCAAACAGCTGACGCACGAGGCGTGGAGTAATGCCGCACAACTCAGAGCTCTTCATATCGCCCAACAGGCTGTATGTTTTGCCGCTCCCAGTCTGGCCATAGGCAAACAAGCATACATTGAAGCCTTTGTATGCCTCCACAACCATCGGTTGGCCAATAGTTTTAAAAACGCTGTTCTGATCTGCAGCTAAAACATGGTCAAAGGAGTATGTTCGCATATCCCTCTCACCACCTATTGCAACGGTATTCGAGTCACACACCCTTGCGACAACCTTGTCTACATCCTTGTCCAGTTTCGTTACAGGCCGAATTCTTAAGGCGACTTGAACGCGATTCCTTTCGCTTGGTTCAGTCATTTGCATGTAATAACAATAAATTATGCAAACGACACTATTACTTTCTAGATTTAAAATGGAAAGAACCAACAGCTAATTGAATAAAGATCATACAGAAAAAATATACGTCGTGGGATAATAATATACTCTTGGAAATGCTACCTTCTTATACCTGAAGACGATCCAGAGAGTTTAAAAAAAAAAAGTAAGTGGTGGTTAAATCATTATTTAGAGAAGGAAAAGGAATAGATAAAAATAACTATATAACTGTTAATAACAATATGATTTATATATACATCCGAATGAGCGTGATATAGTGCCTCAATGATTCCTAATGCTCAAACTGCCTGGTCCCTAGATATACCCATCTAAACGCAAATACAGCACATCAGATGAGAAATACCGCTTCAAGTTGTTTGTCAGGCTACCAAAATAAAATATTTGTTGGAAATTAATAATCGAAGTTTCTCCTTGAACATTGAAAACATCAGATGTCACACAACTAGACGGCTGTCCTTCAAACCAAACGGAAACACGAACACCACCTGTAAGGAAATCTGGTACATTTTGGATCTCTTGAACCTCCACCACCACCAGTATGTCTCCAGAATTATTTCTATTCACATGAAAGTGACACTGTACCAAAGGTGGTGGGACTGAAGAGCCATAGAAAGGCACTACTAAAGTAACAACGTCGTAGGAGTTTATAGGGATGTTACCTATAGATGTTTTGCAGGTTCCAGAAAAGCAAGAAAATGCTGCTCATATTTTTAATGAAAAAAAAAAACTACGTTAACATGGCAAAAATTATTCAAAGAATATAAACTAATAATGGAATTCGAAAATAAGAGGAGCGTAAAAAATTTGACACTTGTATTTTTCACACCTATTTAGTGCTTATTAGATATACTTATATATTATACTATTAGATTTTAATTTAAAAAAAGTGAACTAAAATACTAAAAAATTAGCCTATTATGACTCCAGTTTCTGCATTTTTTTTCAATTGGTAGAATTACCAGTTTGGAGGCTTATCTAGTGCAAAGAGAGTCTATTCGGCATATTTTTATGTGTATGTAGTTTAGTTTGATTGATAAGTATTTAAAGGAGCCCATTTCGTTATGAATCTTGTAGCATCGAATGAAGCCTTATTAAAGGTAGATACAAAGAAATGGGAAAATATATAACCTGCTTTTAAATTATCTCTAAGGAAACTTTACCATGCAATGCATTTTTTATAATATTTCTCTCTCTCTCGTTATATATACATATATTGTTATTTGCTATTTAAATTCTATTCAACCATAGCATATAATACAGAACCAAATGGTCTGAAACATTTATACTTCTATTTTTTTTCATGAGATTAATACTACGTTTAATGTATATAAAGACAGATTAAATAAAGGTAAAAACAACAATGTAAGAATTTTCAATCCTCCTACAGCTGAAAAGAAAAATATCGTTTCCAATGATTTTTTTTCCTTACTCTGATGAGTTTTTATAATTCTTAAAAAAGCTTTTAATCAATTCGATAAGATAATAAACATCAGTTGTTCCACACATCTCGCGTATGCTGTGCATACTAAGCATCGCATTTCCTATATCAGCAGTCTTTATGCCTGATAATGTAGAGAGAATAGGACCAATCGTAGAACCGCAAGGTGAGTCATTTTTTACCACAAATTCCTGGATTGGTATAAAAGCTTGCTTGGCAAGTTTCTTAACAACTGCTGCAGTCCATGCATTTGTGGCGTACCGTGCGTTTGCATTGTATTTAATTACAGGACCGTGGTGTAATTTTGGAAGATGAGCTGATTCATGTTTTTCGGGATAATTTGGATGAACCGCATGTGCACCATCAACAGACAATAAAAATGAATTTGCCACTAATCTCGAACGGAAGGTTTGTTCGTCTATAAGACGTTCAATAAGATCTGGTATAAGTGTGCCACCCGCTCCCTGTGCCGTATTAGATCCCACTTCTTCATGGTCAAAAAGACACACCACTCTTGCCATGAGTTCGTCTTCAATTCCAGTGGAATCTGTTATAGCCTTTATAGCACAAAAACACGATAACAAATTATCTATTCGAGGCGCAAAAATAAATTCGTCATTAACACCACCAATGTTGGCCTCCTGATAGTCAATCACAGACAAATCGAAATCTACTACTTGATCAGGCTTACAAACTGCCTCTTTGCAAATAGCATCAAAAAAGGGTGTACAGTGTTTAGCGTGAAGATTGCTTACAGTATTGTTGAGATCTTCCTCAATTTTTGTGGAAATTACAGGGATTAAATGCTTTTCTTTATTTGGTGAAAAAGATTCCCTCTCTTGGACTGAACATAAATGAATTGCAAGTGTTGGAATACGCATAAGTGGCTTGTTAATACGAATCAATACCGATTCGGGATTTTCACGATCAACTATCACTCTGCCAGCAACTGTCAAATCCCGATCAAACCATGTATGCCAAAGGCCCCCCCCATAGCACTGTACCCCAATACGTTGATACCCACTACTTTCTGAAATAGTATGTGGTTTAATGGCAAAATTTGGAGAATCGGTATGCGCTCCTACAATTTTGAGTCCATTCTCTGGCTTAAACTTAGCTCCAGTTGTGAATGCAACAATACTTGTGTCGTTACGAGTAATGTAATATTTCCCTCCAGGAACAATCTTAGGCCATTCCTTTCCTTCATCCAAATGCATAAATCCAAATGATTCGATCATTGTTGCAGCTGTCTTCACTGCATGAAACGGAGTGTAGGATTCATTTACAAAAGAAATAAACTCCTCCGCTATTTTGATATACTTATCACCTTTTTGCATTTACTTAATTAATAAAATATATAACCTTTGTGAAATAAAAAAGTAGGTAAGTAAAAATGCACCATATAAATTTTTCAATACTAATGTAGAAATCAAAAAAAAAGTAACACAAAAAAAATAGACATTGAAGATGAGTAAAAAAAAACTCACTAGAAAATAATCGATGAGACGCAGGACATGGGAAAAAAAATCCATACACATACCTTTGGACGGAGATAATAAAGATAGTCATAATGAAAAATATTTGATAAAAGTATTAATAGCAAATTAAATTTGGATATTCGTGTTAAATATTCATAATATCTATTAGTGAAAATAATCAAATGATTAAATAGATACTAAATTTAAAAAAAAGCTATCCTCAGATTGATGTAGCAAAAAAAAGATTTCAGTAAATTTATAAAAATATTGGAAAAATCATTGGGTGAACACGCACAAGAAAAGCATATACCTAGGAAAGGAGATAGTTAAAAAATGGTAAAACATTAACAAGGCTAAAAAAAATCTTTTTGAGACGCTAATATAATCTAAGAATGTGTAATTATATTACTTTCTTCTGGAAAGAAACACAGTGGTAAGTATACTTGAGAGTAGTGATGACAAGTATTCAATCATTAACTTTATTATTCTTAACCCGAAATAACCCCTGAATAAAATGAAGAAAAGTAAAAAGCCAAAAGAATTTGAAGTTCACAGGCACTGCGCCAACTTCACCTTTTTATTTTGTTCCCCTCCACCATTGATGACCCCGAGGGAACCCATGGACAGAACTGTAAAGCAAAAAAAAACATCCCGAAAGTAACGTTACTATAGCTTTCTTTTTGAACAGTGGTTTCTGGCCCCGCACCCCACCCTGCCCCCCCGCCATGCCAAACCCCTGAAAGACACCTTTATTCCAGCAAGAAAAAGCTTTTAAGAAAAAATTATAAATTTATCATCTGCATTATTTTAAAAATCCACCATGCCATGGCTATCATGCCTTACCCCGGTTATAAAATCAGCTTAAGTAAATAGAGGAACCTTTGAGCTTAATGGATAACCCCAACCGCCCCAAAATAGCCCACAGCAAACAACCCACGAATTCATTCAACAAAAACATCGCAAACAAGGCCTTTGTCCATTCAAAAAAAATTTATAGCTCGAACTATGGCAAAACCAACGGCAAAGCATATTTACCCATTTACCGTTATCTGAATAAATTCCAATAATATCCTCATAAAAAAAATTTTCCAAAATCTTTCGATATAGAATTCAACAAATTGGAATAGGGAATTTCGTGGCACATGCGATCATAGAATATTAATATTTAGAATTTTTTTTTTTGATTTTATAATATCTATCAAGATCAAAAAAAATTGGTCGATTAAATTGTTTTGTTCCAATGTTTTAATGAAATTTAGATAATGCACGATGCCCGGCCAACACCATTAACCAAAAAGAACCGCATCAATTATTAAAATTGATACCCAGATATTAAAGATCAATGTTTTTAACTATTCAACTTTTAAAGGAATGAGCATTCCACAAAACGGTACCTTTACAAAAAGAAAAACGATCCCCAATCCATATTTAATGGAATTTTTAAAGGGAACCTTCGGGTTGAAAACCGACAACCCCCCTTTTAAAACGCAATTTGAAAGTTTTTGAATGCGTTTTAGGGATTTATCATTAAATTAAAGTGGATTGAATTCAAGATTAAGATATATACCGTTTCGAAAATCCGCACATATTAATCATTAAGTCCATCGTTTTGTTTATTTTTCCAAATGGCTTTAAAATTAAAAAAAAAGCCATGGGCGAATGTCATGGACAATAAGCGATTTAAAACTTAACCTTAAATGGAAAGCCTTATTTATTTACAATAGAAATGGGGATGAAATATTTTTCAATAACCTCGAGCAACGCTCTAATTTTTTGTTTATTTTTGGAGAAGTTTGGGGAAATATCCCATAACAATAATCCAACCCCCGGTGACAAAAATAGAAAGCATTTGTCAATTTTAAAAAGTAGATAAATATTTTTTGAAAATTTAATTCATTATCATGGGCCATAAACTTTGGATATTGTTATTATTGATGGGGGCCTTTTTAACCTATGGTCCAATGGTTCTTTTAATTTATTTGCGGTATAATTCAATATTCTATAATAAAATTTTTTTTTCAATGTCTCTGGG